TTTCGTCCTTATTGGCAATCATCTCACACTACTAACAATATATAAGTAGCTCAGTGGAAGAATAAACACCCGATGAGTGAAACTTCTGTGTGAGAAGTCGTTGCTCGGGGAGCCAGTCAACAGGTGTGACCGCGTGATGTGGATCCCGTGATTCAAGGATGAGCGGCGCTTTGCCCTGTCTAAGTGCGAGTTAATCACACTGCCGGTCAGCCGCCCGTCGCCGAATGGTTAAGTGTTCAAACTACTAGCCAGGAAGGTGCGGGTTCGAGACTCTCCGGAGTTTCGTGAAATGTGCGTTGCTGATGGTTCTCAAGAAGGGTGAAACAACTGTACGGTGCTTCTCGGCCTTTCAGTATAGACTGGCTTCCGTTCAAGCGTGCCAAAAAAGCCCGTTGGTAGACCAGCGAGTCCTCATATTACGAGGCGTTCAGAGGGATAAAGTCGTGCTGTCCGCTGCGATAAGAGTGTGAAAACAGTAAGGTTTTTGCCTTTCCAACGTAGCTGTGAGAAGGCTTCGAATGTTTGTGAAACCGTCATGGTTCACGGATGACCAAGTTCCAAACAAAGCTGAAAGCCAGTGGACAGTTGAGGAGAATACATTTGAACTAAGGCAGTTTGGTTTCATGAGAACAACTCATTGTTATCCAAGCCGATTCACACCAATTAGCTGTTCGTCAGAATTCTCGAAAATCGGAGAGACAATAGCCGATAGACAACAGGGCCAAGCCTCTGAAACATTTACAAGAAACTGAAAACGAATAGTAGACCAAATGAAGTAAATATCTCCATTTGTAGGCCGATCACCGTTGTCACAAACAATTCCCCATTGAACTCGACCGCTTCAGCTGCTAGAACATAAACAAACTGGTGAAAAATTCGACAAGCTGGACGAAATCCGGACAACTTTTGTGGCACTGCTCGAACGGCTTTTGATTTGAACCAGTTGACCTAACATGGAGTGACTCGTCCACAGCCGCCAGACCGGCGGGGTCCGGCGTTTGTGGGG